CAGAACCCAGCTGGGGAACGATATACACAGGGTGCATGAGGATGAGGGGCCTCAGACCCTGGTGCCTGGTGAGGACTGAGAGTTGGGCTCCCTAGGATGGGGCTGGACAGAGGGCTGAGGGACGTGATGCTGCGCCCCTCCCAATGAAACCAGCCAAGTCCCAACTTCCCGTCTGTCCTGGACACTCCTGTCCCACAAGAGGCCCTGGTTACCACTGTTCTGAGACCTGTCAGTCTGTCACTGTTTTATACTGTTAAGTGACCTGTCGCTCATTATTCCTGTGTATAGCTCTGGTCACTACCAGCCCTATGGTCACTATGACTGCTTGTGTCCCTGGTTGCTATCACTGTCACTGTTTCTGCCTGTCCCACCTCACATGTCACTATACCTGCCACTCAGTGCCATCATGTTTTCTGTTGCTTGAGGTCACTCACATGTTCACATCATTGCCACGGGTCATGGTGTCTTCCTTTGGTATCACTGTCACATGAGTACTGCATCTGCCTGTTATTCAGTATCACTGCATGGTGTCTGCTTGTCCTTTTTTGTCACCTTCACAGTTATAGTGGCTGTCACTTAGTATCACCATCCCACAATCATGATGTCTACCTGTCACTCGTGTCACTGTCACACTGCAGGCCACAGACTGCAGCAGCAGTTCTAGTACAGCCCAAGCACCCAGGTGCACATGTGCACACACACCACACCCTCCCCCATTCATTTTCACTTGGTGCCATCTTGGGCCACACACTTCATTCAACAAATATTTGCTGAAATGTTGACAGACTGAAAAATGTAACCAATGTCACTGAACAATTTGTATAGGAAACTGTTAAATGAGAGCCTTATTTGCTGTGTAAACTTTCACCAAAAACACAGTAAAATATTATTAATATAATAATAATAATAATGCAGGCAGTCCCCAGGTTACAAATTCTGATTTAGAGACAACTCATGCTTACCCTATAATGTTACGTAAATTTGCCTTCACTTTGAACCAAGCCCTATTCACAACAAATTCTTCAGCACAGTCACCCCTTGCTGCACATGCAAGTTTTAAATCAATGAAAGTGTTTGAGCCTTTTCTTGCACTAAAGTTGTGCTAAATAAGAACCCTATACATCTATTCCAACTCACCTACAAGTTCCACTTAAAGAGTTAAAGAGGAACGGATCTCGTTCGTAACCCAGGACTGCCTGCGTTTATTGCGTATCCACTGAGTGCCAATAGCTAGGATCAGCAGTAAGCAAGAGGCCCAAACCCCTGCTCTAAGGAATCTTCTGCTCCAGTGAAGGAGACCGACCACAGCTATGGTTGCCTTAGGGTGTCAGGAGAGGCTAACGCAGCTCGAACTCCCTGGCAGGCTGCTCTGTCTGCCTAGCCCACAGCCTGTCCAGCCTGCTGGCATGACTCAGCTCTGGCCAGCACCTCCCACCTCATCCCCCCACTTCCATGGCCACCTTGGTTCTCTTTGAGAGGGCTGGGTGTTTCCCACAATGAGCTCACCAGGGCCTGGGCCCAGCCCTCAGGAGCCCTGGACAAAGGTGTAAGGAATGTGGGCCACTCTGTGCCACCCTGTCCCGCTTCATCTCTGATTCTGTAACTCTGTATCTCTCCTCTCTTCCTGTTTCCCCTAGTCATGCAGGGTCAGCGGAGCCAAGGGTGTTCTGACTGCTGATAAGAAATGGCTGGAGTCAGAGAGAGGGAAGTTATTATACCAGGGCCACCAGGAGTGAGAAGTTGAGAAAGAAGTGACTTCTGGGTCTACTGAGAAAGCAACAGCAAGAAGACAAAGTCACAGCTGGCAGGATTTAGGTTAGATGGAGAAAGAACTTCCATGGATGAAGGAATGATCAAACTCAGCAGGGAGTTTGTTTGCATGCAGGGAAACCTTAGGCAGTTAGAAATGAAGAAAAGAGCAGACTCTGACATGCCCAGATATAATAAAATCAAAAGCCCCTTCATTCTTATGTACTTCTCACTCTAAGCTTTTCTCCCCAACACACACACACACACACTCAGAACCATAGAGCACCACCCCAGGCTTAGAAGCTAAGCAGGCCTGTGGCTGTTTGTAGAGTCTGTGTGTATTAACAGAATTCAGCCTTGTTTCAAGAACTTGTCTAGAGTACCTACACCTAATTTACTCAATCTGTTCATGACAGCTGAGCCTGTCCCTTGTTATAGAGGTTGTCACAGTCTTCAGAGTTAGTCCTTGTGTGCAGATTCTGTCCTGAGTTTGCAGAATCTTTTTTCTTGTTTGCAGAGTCTGTGTCTATTCTGAGTATGACTAGTTCCAGGCTTTTTTTTTTTCCAGAACCTGGGTCTCCTTGAACAGTCTGTCCCTATTTCCCTGTGTGTAGAATTTGCTTTAACTGCAGAGGTTGCCCTGCATACAGAGCCCAGACCTGTCTAAGAATTTATCTGGTGCTTGTGTGGACCATTTCTTTCCGTCTAAAGACACTGTCTCTTTTTGCAAAGCTTATCTGTTTACAGGACCTCAAAGTCTGTTTCCTTTTCAGTGTCTCTGTCCATGCATAAAATGTATGTGTATTGTACATTTTTTAAAAAATTGTAACAAAATGAAACCCTTGTGTTCATTACATAGATCAAGAAATAGAATTCTACTGGCACCTTTTAAAAAAAGTGTCTCTGTTTCTAGAATATATCCTTGTTTGCCAAGCCTTTTCTTATTTGAGATCTAGGTTTTGTCTCCAGAACCTGAGCCCTATTTATAAAGCCTCTGACATTTTTCAGGGCCTCTGCCTGTTTTCACAGCCTATCTGAATTTCCCTGGGTAGAAACTATGTCTGCTTGCAGGGTGTATTCTTATAAAGAGTTTAGGTTATGCTGTGTCAGGGGTTATTAGCTGTGTCTGTCTGGAAGCATCTGTGTCTTTCTGCAGAGCACATCCCTGTTTGTAGAGCTCACACTTGCCTGCACACTCTATTCCTATTCCCATGTGCACCTGTTTGCAGAGCCTGTCCCTATTTATAGAGCCTTTACCTGTCTCCAAGGAGCTCTGGTAGCACAGTGCCTAAGACAATAACTGCTAACCAGAAGGCTGGTGGTTCAAACCCACCAGCTGCTCTGCAGAAGCAAGACTGGGCAATCTACTTCCATAAAGATTGTCCGCTTCAGAAACTCAATGGGGGTCACTGTGAGTCAGAATTGACTCGACGGCAGTGGGTTTTTTAGTTTATCTGTCTCCAGAACTCATCCTTTTCTACTAAGCCTGTCCCTATTTTCAGAACCTGGGACTGTCTTCAGAACTCAGCTCTGTTTCCAGATCTTGCCCATGTCTGGGGCATCTGTGCTTGAACATACAGCTGTTTTCCCTGGCATCTTATTTCAGCAGATCCTGTCCCTCTCTGGAGAAGCTGCCACTGTTAACAGAGTCTGTGTCTGTAGAGCCTATGTGGATTTGTAAAACCTCCCTGTGTGCAAAGCCTCTGGCTGTACAACCACTGTATGCAGAGCCTGTGTCTTTTTTCAGACCTGAATCTCTGCAGAGTTCATGCTTGTTTGCCTAGTCTGTTCCCATCTCTCTGAAATCAGGATTTGAGTCTGTTTGCAGTGGCCACCCTATATGCAGAGCCTAACCACTATAGAGGGCCTTTGGTTGTTTCAACAGCCTGCCTCTGTCTGAGAAGCACTGCTCTGCCTGAAGATGCTGTCCTTGTTTGCAGAGCCTTCCCTATCTATACTCCTGTCCATACCTGCAGAGCCTACTCTTTATGCAAACAGTCTTTCTTAAGGGTCTGTCTTCCATCCATATTTGTAGAGCCATTCCCAATCTGCAAAGCTTCTCAATGCCTACAGAACCTGTGACTGTTTGTAGAGCCTTTGTCAGTGTCCAGAACCTTTGCTTGTTTTTCCATCCTGTCTGAATTTCCCTGGGTAGACATAGAAAGACACCGGCTCTCCTTATGCATACACCTGGTCTCTGTCTATAAAACTCGTCTGTCAGGAGAACCTGTACCTATTGAAGCTCATATGCCCATTTCTGGAGTCCACTCTTTCTGTAGGATTTCTCCTCATAACTAAAGCTTTTATCTGTCCCAACCTTCCCTGTCTTGAGTGGTCCTTGTTTGCAGAGCCTGTCCTAGTCTTTACAGTGTGTGTCTTTTCATGTAGACTTGCCCCATTCCCACTTCCCATTTTCCAGTCTGCAGAAGCTGTTCCTGTTTGCAGAGCCTTTTCCTATCTGCATAGGCTATCACTCTCTGCAGGTCCTGTGTCTGTTTGCATAGCCTGTTCCTAACTGTTCCTGTGTCTGTTTGCATAGCCTGTATGCAGGGCCTATCTTTGTTTATAGGATTCAGTCCTATTTCAAGAGTCTGAACCTGTTTTCCAGGAGCTCTTGTGACACAGTGGTTAAGCACTCGGCTGCTAACCAAAAGGTCAACGATTCAAACCCACCAGCTGCTCCACAAGAGAAAGATGTGGCAGTCTGCTTCCGTAGAGATGTACATCAGAAACCCTATAGGGCAGTTCTGCTCTCTGTCCTATAGGGTTGCTATGAGTTGGATTTGACTCGACAGCAAAGAGTTTTGTCCCTGATTACAGAGTCTGTCCCTGCCTGCAGAATCTGTTCCTATTAGCAGAGCCTTTGCCTATCTCTAAAGAGGTTCTATGGTTCTGGGCATTCTCTCCATATGCATAACCCATCTGTCTACAGATATTGTCCCTGACCACAGTATCTCGTGTCTATCTGCACAGCCCATGTCTAACTCCCCACTGTCTGGTTGCAGAGCTGTTCTATACCTGCCCACAGGACTCAGACTAACCACAGACAAAAACTAAGGCCCTGTTTGCAAAGCCTCTGTAGGCCAGTCTGCAATGCCTATCCTGGTTTGCTGACATGTGTCTACTGAAAGTGCTTTGGAGAGCTCAAGGTGGGGAGAGTTCTCGCTTGGAGTCCAGAGTACAGGTGGCCTCCAGCCTGAGAACTCTGGCTCTTGTTCCTCGCTTCCTCCCTCATTCCCACCTTACCTAGGATGGACATCGACAAGGACCTCCCAGCCATCGATGACAAGGTCCTCCACATATGGATCATTGAGGTGAGGAGCCTGACTACACAACAGAGATGATAGTACAGAGAGGGTAGGGTCTGTAAGATAAAGCCTCTCTCCTCAGCCCAGAGGTCCCTCCCCAACCCATCCCAGCTGGTGTTTTGCATGGATAAGAGGGTCTCCTCAGCTGTCACTGTGGACCCTTCTCTCTCAGAATCTGAAGATGGTGCCAGTACCTGAAAGGGCTTACGGTAACTTTTTCGAGGCACACTGCTACATCGTCCTTCACGTGAGTTATCTGGGGAGTCTGAGGGAGTGGCATGGGCTGAAGAGTCTGACAGCGGGACATTAAGTTACTCCCAGGGAAGGGGCAGGATGAAAGACACAGAATCACAGCTTCTAAATAGGCTCCTGCCTTGCAGAACGTCCCTTCTTCCTTCCCTCCCGCTTCATGATCTCCTGGGTTGGTGGAAGCACCTGCCCAATGCCTTCCCCCACCACGCGCGCTCACGCAGGCGCACGCACACAAACGCATACCTCGACTCACCAGAGTCCGAAGGCCACACAGGGGACATCGAGCGACCTGCACTACTGGGTTGGTGAGGCGTCGAGCACGGAGGCGCAGGACGCGGCGTCTACCTTTGTGCAGCGCCTACAGGAGGCGCTGGGTGACAGAACAGTGCAGCACCGCGAGGCGCAGGGGCATGAGTCTGAGTGTTTCCTGAGCTACTTCCGCCCGGCAATCATGTGAGCCCTGGATGAGGGTAGGGGGAAAGAGAGTGGAGGGTCAATGTGGACAGGGCAGTAAAATGGGGGCTCGAACTGGGACAGCTTTGGAGTGACTGTCTCCCCAATCCTGTGATGTATGTGTGGTGGGTTTTTTTTTTTTTTTGCTTGTTTTTGGTTTTGTTTTTTCTGTAACACCTTATTGAGATGCAACTCACGTACCGTACAATTTGCCCGTTTAAAGTGCATCATTTAGTGGTTTTTAGTATATTTACAGACTTGGACCACAATCAGTTTTGGGACATTTTCATTACCCAAAAAAGAAACCTCACACTATTTACAATCAGTCCCCATTTCCCTCTGTCACCACCCCCCCTCCCAGAGGTAGGCAACGCCCAATCTACTTTCTGTCTCTATAGATTTGCCTGTCCCAGACATTTCATAAAAATGGAATCATACAATGGGTGGTCTTTAATGATGTCCTCACTAAGCATATAGTTTTTAAGGTTCATCCAAGTTGTGTCATGTATAAGTACTTAATTCCTTTTTATTGCTGAATAATATTCCATTATATGGGTATACCACATTTTATTTATCCATTTATCAGTTAAGGACATTTAAGTTGTTTCCACTTTTTAGCTATTATGAGTAACCCTACTATAAACACACATGTACAAGTTTGTATGTGGACACGTGTTTCATTTATCTTGAGTATGCACATAAGAATGGACACCAATCTGGCCTTGAGTTTATTTTTATGTTACTGTGCCCAGTAAAAATACGTCTTTTGCTGTAAGTTGATTCAAATATTTTTAAAATTAAGAATTGCAATGTATTTGTACTGAACCATGGGAAATTGCCAGTATCCTACCATTTCAGTGTCATACGGGTGAACCTAATACATGCATATAGTATATACATAAACAGTCATGTATACATGCATATGCAAAAACATGTGCCACTCCCATATGTGTCACCTCCAGAGGGGCACACCCATACACATACATGAATATATATGTCCAAGCACACACATATATGCTTGTTGCCCACATTCCTCCATGCACTCGCATCTACACTCACATGCATAAACAGATACACCATATACCCCGACTAGTATGCACAAACAGATAAACAAATGCACATTAATGCCTCTACATGTGTACCCATGAACAGGTACATACATGTATTCACATCTACTCATGTCAATTAAACAGGCACATGCTTACCACCTATATGTGTACACGTGTGTACCCACAACTCACTCATTTCTGCACATAGCAGTGTGGACTTTTACATGAGACCCCATTCCATCCTCAGCTACAGGAAGGGAGGCCTTGCCTCTGGCCTCAAGCACGTGGAGACCAACATTTACAGCATCCGGAGACTACTGCATATCAAAGGGAGGAAACACGTGTCTGCCACAGAGGTGAGGGCCACCAGGATGCCACTTGACCCTTGACATCTGGGTTTAGTGTGGACTGAGCATAGGAAGTGCAGAGGTTTGCAGGTGGGGATGGGCACTACAGGGCAGGGGGTCGTCAGCATTCCCAGATGCCTGTCTTGAATGAGGATAGAGAAGGCAGAGCCAGGCTTCTACCCCCGCCTTGGCCACTGTTCACCTGATCCTGTCTGGTTTCCTCGTCTGTCTCATGGGCATATGAATAGCTAGAGAAGGTAAGGCAGCTGAGATGGAGGCCTAGATGGTCCTTTTAAGTGTCACAATGGGGTGGAGGTAGCATGATTTGGAGTGGGAGTGCACAGCCTCCACACTCTCTTACACTCATTGTCACACACACTGTCTTCCCACTGTTATCCCCAGGGCCACTCTAGTCCACATAGCCGCTTTGTGCAAATTAGAAAAGGTGCCCCTTACTTTCATTTGTCAGGAAATCATCACAAAATACTGATTTTGTTAGAACAAGACATTTTGCTGCCATCTGGCAGGAATTTGGTGCAATGAGCATTCAGATGTACAATATCTACAATGTAAAATATAACCCTTAAGTTGTGCGCCCACAGATGGACACACTTACACACATATGTGAATATACATGTCTGCCCACACTGTTACCTACAGATCTTGTGACTATACATTCTTGGCCATGCAAACCTGTTATTCTGGCCAAATTATTTATACCCCCTTTTACTCTCACAAGTACCTCAATGTGAATGATAACTATTCCTATTCATAGGTGCATGCTGTCCCACACAAAGGCACACACACACTGTCACCTATGAGTGCACACACTTAAGTCATATTTTATATGCCATCACATATGTATATGTATGATAGAGATACATGCACCCATTAGCATACACATGTAAATGTACACATGTACAGCTACAGGCACATATAGAAGTGTTACACTCAGCCAGGCACACCCTGTGAAATGTAGTCACACATGCCTAGACCATGCATAGTCATATCCATGAGTCACACCCTGAGAGTCAAATGGTCATACAGATGAATGCCTGCACACCCTGCCAAGTGGTGTCATGGTCATATGTACACCCAGCTGCATACAGCTCCATGCACATACCGTGACACACCCCAGATAAAGTCATGCAGGCAGAGACAAGCTGAGATACCCCTTGGAGCTGGGTTTGCTGGTATGACACTCCATCTCCTCCCCTGCTCCTCCTGACTCTGGCAGGTGGAGCTCTCATGGAGCAGCTTTAACAAGGGCGACATCTTCCTGCTGGACCTAGGCAAGGTGATGATCCAGTGGAATGGGCCAAAGTCCAGCATCTCTGAGAAGGCACGGGTCAGTATCTGCCCTAGGAATTAGAGGGTTGCAGGGCTTGGGGAGGGGGGTGGTCTTCCAGGTGTCCACCTTCCAGTCACCTTGAGGGGTGAGCTTGGCTCACTTCTACAAACTGAGAAGGACCTATTAAGTGCCAGCTGAGTCCAGATCCCACACTGGTGATGCCCCTGGATGCCAGGATGAAGGGACATCACTTCTCCCCTGACCCCAACCTTGCAAGTGGATCTGGGCTGGATTGTCTGAAGGGTGAGAGGGCACACTGGGGAAGTCCTGACCACCAGATGCTCTTTCCCAGGGGCTAGCCCTGACCTGCAGCCTCCAGGACAAGGAACGTGGTGGTCGTGCACAGGTTGGCGTGGTGGATGATGAGGTCAAGGCCCCCAACCTCATGCAGATCATGGAGGCTGTGCTGGGCTGCAGAGTGGGCAGTCTCCATGCCGCCATGCCCAACAACAGTATTAACCAGCTGCAGAAGGCCAATGTCCGCCTTTACCAGTGAGCAGACCTCGGGGAGGGAGGGGTGGGTGGAGAGCATCCATCATGACTGCAATAACAGTGTCTCTAGAAAGCCCTCCAGAAAATGCTCTTGGTTTTCTAGGACCAGCCACATGGGACCTTGGGCCCAGCCTGTACTCTTGCATGATATGTGGCTACCTGGCTGAGAGACCCTTTGTACAGACAGGGAAACTGAGGCACAGAGAGGGCCAGGGAGTTACCTAAGACTCCATAGCAAGACTGCAGTGAAGTTAGGAAACTCAGGACCCCAGCCTCCATTCCCTTTGTCTTGGGGAGGCTGTAGGAGGCTGAGATAGAGCCCAGCCAGGGAGGGGCTGGGCTGTCCACACCTGCATGCTTGTTTCTCAGTGTCTATGAGAAGGGTGAGAACCTGGTGGTCCAGGAGTTAGCAACCTGCCCACTGACCCAGGACCTACTGCAGGAGGAGGTAAGGCAGGCTGAGCTCCAGCCAACCCCACTCACCTCGAATCCACAACCCTAGCCCAGTCTTGGCCACTACTGACCAGTCAGTCCTACTCTTGCTCCCAGAACTGCTACATCCTGGACCAGGGTGGCTTCAAGATCTACATGTGGCAGGGACGAAGATCCAGCCTCCAGGAGAAAAAGGCTGCCTTCAGCCGGGCAGTGGTGAGGCCCTGGGGCCCTGTCTGAGAAGGACATAGCCCAGCCCTGGGGTCTAAGAGGGGAGGCAGCCCTGCCCTAGAATGCTAAGATGCTTTACTGCCCTGGCATTTGCACTGCTAGACATCTATGTCCTGGGAACTGAAAGAGGAGGTAGTCTTGTCCTGGGAGCTGGGAGGCCTGTCTGGTGATGGAGGACATGACTCTCACTGGGGTCTAAGTGAGAGACAGAATCACCCTGTCTGAGGGAGCAGACACTACTCTCCCTGGGAGCTGGGGAGGACAAGACCCCTCCCTGAGGTATGAAGGAGGATGTGCCCACCCTGGGAGCCTTAACCGAGGGGACAGACTAAACTGCACCCTGGAAACCATGTGTAAAAATAGGACATGGCCCTGCCTGGAGGTCCGAGGAGAGTACAGTCTGCACTGGCCGACCCCCTGCTTTCTAAGGCCCTTGGAGAAGTAGGTAGTGCCAGTCAGCAGTTAAGTGGGTTGTGAGCTCTGTTAATTAATGCTGCATGGGGCTCAGCTGGCCCTGCAGCCTAGGCAGGAGGTGTGGGGTGGAGGTTGACAGGAGCAGCAGGCCCTTGGGTTCCAGGCCTGACAGATCCCCCGTCCCAGGGCTTCATCCAGGCCAAGGGCTACCCGATCTACACTAATGTGGAGGTAATGAACGACGGTGCAGAGTCGGCCGCGTTCAAGCAGCTTTTCCAGACGTGGTCTAAGGACCAGGGCAAGAACAAGAAACTCGGAGGGATTGGTGAGTGGGTGGGGCAGGGCTGGCAGGGGGCTGGGACGGGTCAGAGGTGCCACTGATGCTGTCTGTCCCACTCCTAGGTAAACTGATACAAGTAAAGCTGGATGTGGGCAAGCTGCAGAGCCAGCCTGAGCTAGCAGCCCAGCTCAGGATGGTGGACGATGGTTCTGGGAAGGTAGAGGTAAGAGGGGAAGATGGTCATACAGGGTTGACTTCCCCTGTAGGTGAACGGCATGGCTGCTATCTAAAGTGACCCGGGTATACCCAGGTCACAGTGAGGAACATACGTGTATATACACACTCTCCTGACAGCCAAGTCATACACAGCCATGGCCACTCGCTTGCATAGCACTCACTCATAGGCACAGCATTTATAGCATACAACACACATGTAATACTTGGACACTTAACTTGTGCTCTGTTATCATATGTATGACACAGTGATATATATGTCATATAGACATACTTATACCTTGTAATTGCACATAATCAAAGACACACCCAAAACCAAACCCACTGCCATCATGTTGATTCTGACTCATAGCAACCCCATAGAAAAAATAGAACTCCCCTGTAGGGTTTCCAAAGCTCTAAATCTTTACAGATGCAGACTGCCTTATATTTGTCCCATGGTGTGGCTGGTGGGTTTGAACCACTGACCTTCTGGTTAGCAGCCCAGTACTTTAACCACAGCACCCACCAGAGCTCCTTCGAGACACTCAATCATACACAATCACAACCAAGTACACAACTGTACTTGTGTGCTTGTGTAATTGTACAAACTATGTCACTTGCGATCAGAGTCACACATGACCACCAACCCACAGAGACACACCAACACACACAAACAATCACAGCCCCATACAGTGAGCCACCAACACACAACCACACACTGTCAACCACTCACTCAGCTTGTGGTCTCAGCCCAGTGTTCTGGGAAACACACAGACTGGAGGCCACTTCTAGGCTCCGTACAACGTAGTGTATCTTGTGGGATGTCCATTGATTAGGGCCCTTGGTTCCTTTGGGCCTCAGACTTTTTTCTCTATAAAGTTAGGGCAGAAGCTGTGGTCCCACCTGGCACCAAGGCTAGTGTGGGGATAAGATGCTACGAGATTATAGGAACGGGACTGCTGGGCCTATGTGAAGGGTCCCGGTTCCTGAGGCAGGAAGGGATCAGAGGGAATAGTGTTTCTCCAAGATTTTCTTCTGCATCTGTCCTAATAGGAACAGACAGAGATGGTGAATGGAGAGAGGGAGGGAGGACACAGGGGCAAGGAGGGGAGACAAAGAGAGGGGAAGATGGGGGTGTGCAGGGACAGACAGAGAGAAGAGACTGAAAGACAGACAGAAGACAGAAGGAAGAGGAGGAGAGAGAAGAAAACAGGGTAAGGGCAAGAGCAAAGAGATGGAGGGTCAAGGAGAGAAAGTATAAACAGGGAGAGAGGACAGGGGCAGACAGGCAGAGAGACCAGGGGAGACAGGAAGTGAAGAGGTAGATGAGGAAGGAGAGAGGGCTCTCTGTCCAGGTGCCCCAGCAGGCAAGTGGAGAGGCAGGCAGAGAGCCTAAGCCAGGAAGCCTGGGTGGCACGTGGCTGAGACCTGCCCCTTCTGCAAAAGGCAAGATTCTAAATGTTCTGGTCTGGGGGAGACCTTCCCCAGAGGCAGCTGTCAGGCTCTGTGTGAGCCAGGATGCCCCCTCTTTGTTTCTGCCATGTGGCGGCACAGTCAGAGGGGTGGTGGTATCCCTGTTTCACAGGTAAGAAAAACTGACGCTCAGCAAGGTCTTGCTGCCAGTGTGGGGCAAAGCTAGGATTTGACCCAGTCTCCTGGCTCCAGACCACACTCTGTCACCCACAAGAACAACATATCACACTAACAAGTGTGAAGAAGGATTTTCCTTTCAGTCTTTGAACAGGCATTGTTTTATAAGTGACACTTGAAAACAGAGAATTTTTCTAAGAGCCTTGAGGCCTCACTTCCCACCTAGCTTCTGCTGCCCTGGGCATCGAGCAGCTATGCCAGGGCCTGTCTGCCCCTAACTAGGCTGTTGCTGGTAGGGCTGGGGCTGGCAATGGGCATGTGGCAGGGGATGGGCCCACAGCCTCTAAAGTCCTCACCACGAGTCTACCCCCAGGCACCACACCCAAACTCAGAGTCCAGGCTGAGAACAGACCAGCCCAAGGGTGGTGGGTCCCGTGGACTCAAGGGGAAGGGGGTCATCTGCAGATCCTTGCTCAAGCCCAGCATGAAGCATGGTGTGAGCCTGGAGCTGTGGGTGAGCCCCTCACTCACACTCATGAGGAATGCTTTGGAACAGTAACACTTACTGGCTATGCACAGGGTAGGTGGGCTGACCCAGATGAAGGAGCTACCCATAGTGATCAATGGGTCTCCTACCCCCTAGATGTGGTGCATCCAGGACTTGTGCAGGCAGCCGGTGGACCCCAAGCATTATGGACAGTTGTATGCAGGCAATTGCTACCTTGTCCTCTACACGTATCAGAAGCTGGGCCGTGTCCAGTACATCCTGTACCTATGGCAGGTGCGGTGACCTGAGGGGGTTAACGGGCACATACAGCCCAAGAGCTGAGGAGCTGACAGTGGGCTGTTACAGGGCCACCAAGCCACCCCTGACAAGATCAAGGCCCTGAGCTACAACGCCGAGGAGCTGGACCTCATGTACCATGGAGCCCTGGTACAGGAGCATGTGACCATGGGCAGTGAGCCCCCCCACTTCCTCGCCATCTTCAAGGGCCAGCTAGTGATCTTCCAGGTATGGCCCACCTGGTTGGCTCCTTCACAAACCTGTAGCCCTTACACACACATGCTAAGTAAGCCAGGGGCCTAGCTCTTCATGCCCTGGTCTCCTGGTGCTTGTCTGAGGCCTGGAAGCTCAAGGGTGACCCCTGCCTGAGTTCCTTCCACCAGACCCCAGAGCCAGGTGCAAAGCAGGAACACAGGTGAGGACACTGAGTTAAAAGGGAGCCAGGGCCCTACCTGGCCCTACCTACCCGCAGACAGACAAAGTCAGTCCCTACTTTCTCCTTTCAAGGCCTGGAGAGCCATGTCCTAACCCCTCAGCGACGGAGTGAGGGGTCCATTTAGAAAGGGCACTAGACGGACAGTATCCCCATACTCCACACTCAGAGGATCCGGAACATGGTGGTGGCTTAAAACCAGGGCCCCCTGAGCCCGAAGGCAATTTGTCCCACACTAGGGCAGGGAGGTGGTCCCCTTGCCTCAGCCTGAGGCCCAGCCCTCTTGTAGGGGGGCACAGGGCGCACTGGGAAGGGGCAGCCAGCATCTGCCACCCGGCTCTTCCACGTGCAAGGCACAGACAGCCACAACACCAAGACCATGGAGGTACCAGCCCGTGCCTCATCCCTCAACTCCAGTGACGTATTCCTCCTGGTCACCGCTGGCATCTGCTACCTCTGGTTTGGGAAGGTACCCCAGCACTCACCACTTAACTCACACCTGGGGAAGTGGTGTCAGGCAGGGGATGGGTCCACTTTATGGGGGATGTAGACTGTGAGTAGGGCCTCAGATAAGCATGGGGGGTGGAGGTGGGACAGGAGTCACAGTGTCTCCTCAGGAACTTGTGGAAAGTTACAAAGTGACAGGTGGGCCTAGAAGTCTAAGCGTCAGAGCCAGGCATGACCCAGGTAGCCTCTTCCCCTCCCCTCCTTCCTGCTTTGAACAAGGTGCATGTCCCTTCTCTTATCTCTTGGGGAGCAGAGGGAAGCCTAGTCCAGTTTACTGGTTTTCTCTGATCTTCAGCCTATACCATGAATGACCCACCCCTTCATCCTGTGCTCTGCTTAGATGGGGAAGCAGGCCTAGAGGGGAAGAAAGGGGGAGCCATTGTTCTTATGTGACCCTCCATCAGCTTAGGCCTCCTGTATCTCAGGTCCATCTCCCCACCCACCCCAGTGAGTTGAGAATATAGGACTGGAGGTGAAGCCCCCTCCCTGTGCAGGACCTCACCTAGCTCTTTGCCTGTCAGGGTTGCAGTGGTGACCAGCGTGAGATGGCACGGATGGTGGCCACTTTCATCTCCAGGAAAAACAAGGAAGTAGTGCTGGAGGGTCAAGAGCCTCCCCACTTCTGGGAGGCACTTGGGGGCCCGGCTCCCTACCCCAGCAATAAGAGGTAATGGGGAGGAGGGAGCATTCCCCTTACACAGGAGGAAACTGAGGCTTAGAGAGGGTGAGTGACTAATTAAGGGTCACACAGAAAGCTGGAGAGGCTAGACTAGAACCCAGGACTCCTGGCTCCCCACTTCGGGGGATCCCAAGAGCACAACCCACCCTCACGCCCCAGCCCTCAGTAGTAACTCATTTGGGAAAGATGCCAGGGAGAGCTGGACACTAGTGCCCTCTGCTGGCCAAATCTGCTTCCTGGCTCTCATTGTCACGTGCCATCAAGTTGGACCCAACTCATAGCGACCCCTCCTTGGGTTTCCGAGGCAGTATCACTACGGAAGTAGATTGCCCCATCTTCCTTTCGAGGAGTGGCTGGTGGGGCCTGGCTCTCAAGGATCCTCAAAAAGGCATCTGGCTGTTTCCTAACCACGTAGTCCACAGGGATCATGGTGCCCAGTGTGCATGTATACAGGGTATTACGATATGTGAGTATAGTGTGTGTGTGTGTGTGGTGCCTGCAGGTGTAGATGTGTGAGGTATGTAAGTGGGAAGTGTGTGTGGAGAAGGTGGGGCAGAGGAGAGTCTTAAAGGGAGTCCCAGGCTGTTCTCTGTATGTCTGTGGGGCCTGCTTTATGCACAGCACCCCACACTCCCCCAAGTCTTCTAAGCTTAGTGCTTAGAAGCTTAGAAGATTGTGCCCCTCTCCCTCCTTCCTGCTGCTCCTAAAGCGCCCTGTAGGGGTGGGCCAGAGCTTCTCCCATCCCAGGGAGGCTGGGCCTCCAGCTCAGACCTTCCCCACTAAGCAAGCTGTGCCCACTCCTGGGGAATCATGGTCAGCTGGAGTCACAGCTGGCTGGGGCTAGGTAGATCACCTAATCTGCTTTCCCCTTTGACAGAAAGGCCAGGGACAGGGTGGACCTGGAGTCAGTTGTAGGGTGGGTGGGGTTGGGAGGAGGCCCACACCTCCTATCCCCAGAAGTTGCTTCCTAGCCCCTAGGGTGGTGGCACCTGGGCTGGGCCGGCCTTGGCCCAGAGCTTGGCACCAGCACTCTCTGAATGCTCATGGCCTTGCTGTCCATGCTGGCCAGGCTCCCCAAGGAGGCCTCCAGCTTCCAGCCAAGACTGTTCGAGTGCTCCAGCCAGAGGGGCTGCCTGGTCCTCACAGAAGTGGTGTTCTTCAGCCAAGAGGACCTGGACAAGTATGACGTCATGTTATTGGACACCTGGGAGGAGGTAAGGCAGCCACCTCTGGGGTGTGGCTGAGGGGGTGTGTGTACTTGTATGAGCAAGTAACTGGGTGTGGGGGTTACTATGTGTATAACTAGCCATATGACTCTTATTGTGTGATTGTGTGCCTGTGTGAAGGCATGAGGCCATGGGTGAGACAATGTGATTGCATTTGCCTTTGTATATCTGGCTGTGGTCAAGTAACTAGTGCTGCGAGACCATGCTTGCGCACACTTGTGTGTGACTGTGACTGGCTGTCTGTGGGTGTGACTCTGACCCACTGTATTTGTGTGATGATGTATGTTTGTGAGTATATGTAATAGTTTTTCAGGCTACATGTAACTGGCTGGGTATGTCCCCCACATTAACTGAGTGTGGTGTTTATGTACAACTGTGTGTGACTGTGTGGCCGTTGTGACATGACTTGCTGTCTGGCTATGTGGTGAGGGATGATTGTGCGTCTGTGTAGCCATGATAATTTGTCATTATGCATAGGTGGGGCTGTGATTCTGCGTGAATGTGGTGAGGTGGCTTAGGGTGCCCCATCTCAGAGTAAAAGCCAACATCATTACTACAACCCACAAAGCCCTATGTGACCTGGTTCCTCACTCTTCCTGCTTGCTCACCCTGCTCATCACTATGGCTTTTTGTCCACAGAACATGCCAGCCACGCTCCTACCTTGGGGTCTTTGCATTGGTTGTTTCTTCTGGTTAGAACCTTTTCCCCTCAGACATATACAACTTGCCCCTTCGCCTTCAGATTTTGACTCAAATGTCATCTTTTCCATTAGGCTTTCCTTGATCCTAATTTAAAATTGCAATATCCCCCCCCACACACACACACGCCATCACACTCCTTATCCTCTTTCCCTGCCTTATTTTTCTCCATTTGATACACTACATATTTTATTTATTTGCTAATTTTTCTTACTCCCTCAAAAAATGAAAGCAGTTTGAGGGCAGGGATTTTTTACGTTTTTTTTTCCTGTTGCTGAATCCCCAGTGTCTAGAACAGAGCCCTGCACACAGTAGGTGCTCAATGAATATTTATGGATTGAATGCATGCATGCATGCCTGTGACTTAGTGTGAGTTTATGGAGGTGTAGAGATGGCAGCCTACTGTGTGTCTGGTTGGCAGGGGATGTGTATGTGGGTTTCTGAGACCATCTGATGGATAGGAGTGGGGAGGAGGTAGCCAGCTCCAGGCAGCCTCTCTGCTAGCTCCAACACCAGGTCTTCTATATGGTCCAGATCTTCCTGTGGCTTGGGGAAGCTGCAAGTGAGTGGAAGAAGGAGGCAGTGGGCTGGGGCCAGGAGTACCTGAAGACCCATCCAGCAGGGAGAAGCCCAGCCACAACCATCATATTGGTCAAGCAGGGCCTTGAGCCTCCTACCTTCACTGGATGGTTCCTCGTCTGGGACCCCTACAAGTGGACCGTGCCCAGCCCCACCGTAATCCTGGGCAGAGGGGCCTGCTAACAGCAGGATGAGGGAGGAAGCACTCCCATACCTGGGAACCTCCAGTGTGGGTGGGAAAGACCTGGCCTTGTCCTCAAGCCCCCTCCTGGGTCCCACTGGTGCCCCTCTCCTGCTCCAGCCCTGACTCTTGTCCCCAGAACAGCCAGCCCTATCAGGAAGTGGTGGAGCGAAGCCTGGGAGCAGTGTCTGACAAAATAATAGCAGTGAGTACTGGGGCCTCCTGGGCCATCCCCACCATGGTCAGTGCTCCTGGGCTTCTGAGCATGGTCCAGAATAGGCACAGGAAGGGACCAGACCCTGATAGATGGGAGAGACTGCAGTTGGGGGCAAGAGGGCCAGTGGGCTATGTGGCCACCCTGTGGGCTGCTCTTCCCCATCTTCCCCAACCTGCAGCCTCTCTCTGAGCAGGATATCAACAACTTCCGACTGTCCGACTCGCCGGGTGATGGCACAGTGAGGCCTGTGGCCCTACCGGCTCTCAAGGGCTCCCAAGACAACTCAGAGAATGAGCTGGAGCTGGGCCCCAAGGCAGGCAGTGCTAGCACCAGTACCAGCACCAGCACCAGCAGCTATTACAGCAGCCCCAGCTCCATGATCAGTGGGGTCCTGCCCCGTGAACAGCTAATGTACCAGGCTGCTGAGGACCTGCCAGAGGGCGTTGACCCAGCCCACAAGGAGGTGGGTGATGAGAGCCTCTGCCACGCATGGCCCCAGCACTTGTTGTTGTTATGTGTCGTTGAGTCGGACCCAACTCATAGCGACCCCTCCTTGGGTTTCCGAGGCAGTATCACTACGGAAGTAGATTGCCCAAACTTCCTTCCGAGGAGTGGCTGGTGGGTTTGAACCCCCAGCCTTCTGGTTAGCAGTCAAGTGCCTTAGGCACTATGCTACCAGAGCTCCTGGCCCTAGCACTAATGCCTCTAAAACTGGGCTAGCAGAGCCCAAGCATGGCCCACTGATGGAGGGGCTTCAGGCAACAGGCAGGCTGCCTAGAGAGGTGTACATTCTAGGTGAGGCAGTAGGCAGGCAGGTGTGGGAAAGCCTTGAGCCCTGGGATGACAGGCTTGGGTGACACACTTCCCCCTGCATCCACCTCCAGTTCTATCTCTCAGACTCTGACTTTGAAGATATCTTTGGGAAGTCCAAGGAAGAATTCTATAGAATGGCTAAGTGGAAGCAGCAGCAGGAGAAAAAGCAACATGGTTTCTTCTGAACTCAGGCCCCTGCCCTGCCAGTGCCACCTACATGCCCAGACCCCTGCTGCTACCCCCCCCCCCCCGCCCAAGGCTAACCTGAGCCCCTGGGAAGACCTGCTCACACCCCCACACATACACTCAGGATCCTGGGTCACCCCCTAAATTAGTCAATAAAAACGTCTGGTTCACACAGGTGTGGTATGTGTGGTCTCAAGCCTGGGTCACCCAAGAGGTCCACATTTTGGGAGACAGAGGACTCTAAGGCTCAGGAGTGGGGGGTAGTCTGTGCCATCCCAGAGGACTAAATTCCATTCCATCCTCCATGAAGAGCTTTCTCCCTCCAGACCAAGGGGGCAGACAACCCCTTATCCCCACTCTGTGAGGAAGGTGAGGAAGGTGGGGAGTGAGGTGCTAGGGTCCAGTGCTCTGGGACACATGCACATACACACACCTCACAGGTAATACAGAAGGTCGCGGAGTCAGAGCCAACTCAATGGCAACTAACAACAAGCAGGTAAAGAAATCACAGGGCTTACTTAGTCTTACGATTTTTATAAAAATCCTTGACCCAGGGCTAGCCAGAGGCCAAAGGGTTGCAGTGTGTTCCTAATGGAATAAAGGACAGCTCCAGGGACTGGATCAGCTCCTAGGACCTCAGAGAGGAAGCAGCATGGGCAGTGTTTGAGCTGAAGGCAGTATGGAGGCCTCTAACTCTAAGCAAGAGGTTGAGAGTGGCCATACCAGCCCTGCCCCCAGAGGTGGACAGAGGCCTAGCCTGCTCAGGGCAACCCCACTAGACTCCTCGAGCCCAGTCTTGGAGGAAAACCTTCACAAAGAGCGTGGCTGATGGATGCTGGTCTCCATTCTTGGATAAGAGGTGGATGTGGCGGTATCCTGGTAGGCGGATGGGCAGGAAGGTAGACAGCAGCAAGGAATATACAGAGAGAGTTTGGGTCACTCAGAAAGATGCTCCAAGGTACAGCCAGCCCCAGCCCAGGAGATGTCAGGCTTTGCCCTCCCCAACCCTGGCCACCACCTCCCCTTGACAAATACTCACCCTGCTTGAGGCTGCTCAAGGGGATGGTGCTCTGTCCAATGAAGTCGTTCTTGGAGGAAGCATCGTAATCCTCCACCACAAAGCGGATGAGGGCAAGCTCAGACACAACCACCTCAAACTCAAATTCCGTGTCCCACTTGGGGTTGAAACCTAGGGGTACAGCACCATATCAACAGCATAGACACCGGCTCCAATGGCTGAGCCCAACCCAGACCTAACACATACCATTATTGGTGACTACAGCAGTCTGGCGGCTGGCCATGTCCCGGGCCACACCGTGGATCTCCACTGTCACTTTGGGGTCCACAATTGAATTCTTATTCTTGTTGACTTTTGGAAGCTGTTGCCCCGAGATGACCTGAGGAAAAGCAGGGGACAGTTAAGGGCTCAGGAATGGCAGTGAGCATGAAGAGAAGCCCCTGGGCACTGCCCCTCCTGTGTCCCTTCATACTCTGACATTGAGCCGCTTCTGAGTCCACCAGGGCCCCTGAGTCAGCACACATGGGTTGAAAGTGGAGTTGGGGTCTCGCAGGAAGGCAGGCTTCAGCACGTACCCACAGGCCCCATTGTCCTGGAAGCGGCCCTGGTACACATCCATTTCTAGCCCAGGTGTCTGGAAGTTCAGAGCCACTACAGGCAGGAAGGGCAGTCACATGCTGTAGCTGGGCCTTGAGGGCCCTTCAGCCCAGCCCACTTGGTACACTGAGGTTGAGGGTCACATGGGGAGTCAGAAGCAAAGTCTACTCCAATGCTTACTGCTCTCCTGCCACCCCAACTGACCCATTACATGAATCACACATCCTATTTCTGATGTGAGTGAGAATTCAAAGGACTGCTATGTCAATAGTAGAATTTTAGACACTATGACTTGCTGTTGGGGGGATATATCCAAACTGAAGTACCCAAAATACCAGATCCTGAGCCCACAGGTCCCTACACCCAGCCCTGCTTGGGACCCCAGACCTCCCACTGCATGGCCTCTAAGGCTCTAGGCCCCTGGTGCTGAGAACCAGAACCCACATCCAGGCCTCCTCCAGCCCCAGGCAGCTCCTACCGATCTGGCAGCCTGCGTTCCACATCTCTACAGGGCTGTAGTTGGAAGAGTCTGTTCTCCAGCCAGCGGGGTAAATCCTGCTCAGGTGCCCCACATTGTGGAGGACAAAGCTGTTTCCTGAGGGGTGTATTAGTCAGTCAGAACTGGAGGCCTCCTAGTAAGACCCAAGCCTCTCCCCACCAGTTCTGTCTAGCAACAGAGCAGGGAGTGCCAACTCTAGGCGACATCTTAAGGGGTGGTGAGCCAGCCCAGATGGCCAGACAGATGGTCAGCAACTTTGGAGTACAAGCAGAGGCTCACCTGCTTCTTGGAGTAGTCGGAGGGCACGGTTCTCAGAGAAGGATGCCATCTCGTAGAAGGCCTGCCCAGGAGTGCCAGGCCTGGAGAAACCCTCAAAGTGGACACTCTTGCAGTAAATGACCATGTTGGAGAGTTCCATCGCTAGCCTGAGTTTGTCCTCCTGAGGGCCATGGGGAGGCCCAGATTAGATTCAGAAGTTGGAACAGAGTGGGCACTGAGAGTGCCAGAAACCCAGAGACAGAGAGACAGAGAGAAGGGGGCAGATGGTCTGAGTGGCAGCCACAGAGAACTGAGACAAGGCAGATATCCCACTAGGTGATGGTGGATGATGGGGAAGGGCCCCAGGGCTGCCCACCCCAACAGCTCCCCCTCAGACCCTGGGTTTGTGCTGCACGTGGCTCCTCACTGCCTCGTCTTCCATCTCCGCAGCCTCATCCTCATCTGACACCACAGTGGCCTCAGAACTGCCTTCCCCTTCAGGGGGCCGGAGTCCCCCAAGCTTCTTTCCCTTCAGCAGGATCTTTCCCTTCAGTTGCTAATAAGGATGGAGGGGCAGCTGATCAAGACCCACCTGGCCTCCCAGCCAGTCCTGTGCCCTCTCCTCCAGGTGCCAATATGTCTACCACATACTTCTGGGGAGGGCAGACTGGTGGTGACCCCATCTAGCTGCTGGTCCAACAGCATGGTGCCCAGGATGGTCCTCAAGTGTCGTGCCATCACCCGCTGCTGCTCCAGGCTGCAGTGGTTCTCCAGGGACAGGATGACGGGGTAGGGAGATGCCTAGGGGCCAGAAGATTTTAGAAGGGGGTGGACACCCCCAGCATTCTTCACACCCCCAGAGGTGCACCCACCTTGAAGGCGTAGTCCCGGATGGCCCTGAGCACGTCGCAGAAGAGGATTTTGGAGGTGAAGGTGTAGCCGTGGTAAATGATTGGCTCCTGGTTGGGCCCATCCCAGCAGTCGAGCTCCAGGCAGCGGCAACCTTTGCACAGCGCCCTGTGGGCAAAGAAAGCGGCTAGGACCCTCCGGCCCCGCCCCGCTCCCTCCCCGCCCCGCCCCACCCCGGCCCCCACCGGATGTAGGCTTCGGTACTGCTGGGTCCAGTGAGCTGATCCTCCAGCAGGTAAGTGTTGTGTGAGGAGGACACGAAGTAGTGGCTGAGCGGCTGGCTCATGTCCAGGTAGACCCGTCGGTGCGCCAGGTTGAAGGCGCTGCCGTCCGCCGACAGAAGGTACATGAGGAAGCCATCCTTGGTCATCTGCCGCCGTGCCTTGGCTGGGAGGGAGGAGGACGCCCCACTTGAGCCTTCAGCCCGCCTCCCGCCGGTTCTGCTGAGCTGGTCCTCGACATCCCGTGGAAATGGGGTAAGTGTGAGTGTCCAACCTGACCGTGATTACCCCAGAGCAAGGCCCTGTCTCCTCCACCTGTCCCCACACTGTAAGGCCCCTAAGGGCAGGGTCTTATCTCCTCTCTGTCCGCTCTTCTGCCCCCCAGAGCAGGGCCCTATGTCCCCTGCTTTGTCATCTCCCAAAGATGGACCCAAGCTGGACACAAAAAAGGAAGCAGGAAAATGTTTGCTTTTCCAGCCACCTCTCTCTATTTCTTAGGGTGGGATGGGTGGGGAGAGGCAGGCCTCAAAATGCCTGGAGGAGGAACCAGGATGCCCAGTGAGGTGGTAATGATGCTGGGAGCCCTGTCTCCTGTCTGTCTGCTTTAATGGAGCAGGCAAATAGAGCCCAGTAGGTAAGAAGCTCTGGGGCTGTATGAAGTACCCCCTTCCCTCCACCCCCCTTCTCTTTGGCAGTATGTCCCTGGGTTCCCCAGGGCACCATGGACTGGCCCAAAGGCCCCAGCCAGGCCCTCACCAGTTTCACTGGGCTCATAGCGCTCGATGAGAGATAGGGCCAATGCAGGCCCTGCAGCCTCCTCCCGTTGCTGGTGCTGCAGGAATGTAACCAGCTGATCAACTGACAGGGTTTCCCCAGCACCCGCAGCCTCGGCAAAGATGCGGTCGATCTCCTCCCGCTGGGTCAGCATCTTGTAGAAGACCTCAATCTCGTCATTCTCTAGGGAGTCTGTCTGGGAGCGATCACATTCCTACACAGCCAGGACAGCCAAGTGGGCAGGGCTCAGTGTAGGCCTCTGGCCAGGACCAAGGACTCCACTGCCACCTGACCCTGACTTCCTGTCTCACCCTGAAGATCCTCCGTGCATAGCTGTCATCCACCTGAATGTTAAGTTCCTTCAGGAAGTTCTGCAGCTCCTTGAAGCTCATCTTGTTGTCCTTGTTTTTGTCAGCTTTTCGCAGGCAGGAGTGAATCCAGCTGGGCAAGGTAAGGAAAGAATGCAGGAGCCCTGGTACCCCTGTGACATCCCAGCCAGAGCCATAGTTCAAGCTCCCTCAAGCCCTGGGCCTAGCCCTGCCTAGGCTAAGGTTGCCTGTAGACACAGCTCCCTGCAGGCCTAGCTTATTGCACATCTACATTTCAGCAACAAGACCTGGTGGCCTCTTTGGAGGAACATGTTACATCCTATTAAGGAGTCTTTTTTCTATATGTTGGCATGGAGTCCTTTTCTTTTCTCACTGTGGGGCTCACTGTAGACAACACAGAAAATACAGAAAAAGTAATGAAACAAATCTCCCCACAGTCCAACCACCCAGGGTAACTACGTTAACATTTTAAGGTATATCTTTCTGGTTTTTAAGATACAATTTTTGGCCAACTTAACTAAAGTAGTTTGTTGTTGTCAGAAGCCATCAAGTCAGTTTCAACTCGTAGCAACCATGTGACAGGGTAGAACTGCCCCATAAGTTTTCTTGGCTGTAATCTTTATGGGAGCAGATCCCCAGCTCTTGCCTCCTGCAGAGTCACTGGGCTGTACTGAATTGCTGGGTGGGAGCCAATCAGTTAGCAGTTAGACTTTTCAGTTAGCAACCCAATGTTTACCTATTGTCCCCAGGCTTATTTTATAGAAAATAGCATATGTCAAGCTACAGAGGACATCACATGAAAAAGCAAAGCCTGGATCAAGTCATCATGATTTGGACATTTCAGCCTCTAGTTATCCCTCACCTTGTCATGCCTTAAGGAACCAGAGAAGGAGGGCTGTGGAGAGTACAGACCTCCATAGTACATTCCACAGACATCAGAGAACTAAGTATAGAACAAAGACAGGAGCATACACACACACACACACAAAGACAGTAGGTTTGTAGAAGAAATCAAAGGGAAACACCATAATCAATGCTATAAAAACTTTTTAAAGAAAATTCTGAGGATCCAGTAAAGAAAAAGTAGTCATTTATTTGACAGAGGGAAGCATTTGCAGCAGAGGCTTCTTGTTGTTATTATGTGCCATCGAGTTGGACCCAACTCATAGCAACCCCTCCTTGGGTTTCTGAGGTGGAAGTAGATTGCCCAACCTTCCTTCCAAGGAGTGGCTGGTGGGTTTGAACCTCCAGCCTTCTGGTTAGCAGTCAAGTGCCTTAGGCACAATGCTACCAGAGCTCCTGCAGCAAAGGCTTAGAAGATTTAATTAATTAAAAAGTAAACAGTATGAGAGCTTATAACTAAATGAGCAAAAGACCCAATCTGTCCCTTTCCAAACATTCCCAGTAATCAAATATGTTAAAAATTTGAAAATGAGATGCAATTTCTTAAACTAGAAAGTTAGCAGTTTCAAAATATAATACCCAGTGCAAGTAAGGTTGAGGTGAAATGAACATTCTCATCCATTGCTTGGGGAAGGTAAATTGGTACAATCTTTAGGAAAATGATTTAAGGATAGCTAAAGCTTTAAACTGTTAATATCTCCTGATTTAGGAATTCTACTTCCAGCAGTCTGTTGATAAGCAAATACTCCCTGAATACCAGAAAGTGTTATGCACAGAGATGTTCTTTGCAGTGTTATTTGTTGTTTCACTCTTGAACAACTAAAGATAACTTAAATGTTCAACACTAAAGGAATAAATCACTGATCTACGGTTCTTCCACTCAGTGGATTAAAATGGGAATATTCCAGATTGACCTACAGAGTGAACAATCTCTATCAAAATCCCCACTGGCTGTATGTAGAAATTGACAAGCTGATCCTAAAATTTATGTGGAAATTTAAGGGACCCAGAATAGCCAAATAATCATGAAAAAGAACAGATATGGAGAGCTCACCCTTCTTGATTTCAAAACTTACTACAAAGCTACAATAATCAAGACTGTGGTACTGGCATAAGGACAGACACAGATAAATGGACTAGAATAAACCCTCAGATTTATGATCAATTGATTTTTGACAAGGCTGCCAAGATAATTCAATGGGTCAAGAATGGTCTAAAGAAATGGTGCTGGGACAACTGGATATATACATGCAAAAGAGTGAACTGGACCCCTACTTCACACCATATGCAAAAATTAACCTAATATGGATCAGAGACTTAAATATAAGGACTAAAACTATAAACTCTTAGAATATAAGAGTAAATCTCATGACCTTGGGTTAAGCAAGGTTTTCTTAGACATGACACCAAAATCACAAGTAACCAAAGGAAAAGGAAAAGTGGACTTCATCAAAACTAAAAACTCTTGTGCTTCAAAGAATACCATCAAGAAAGTGAAGAGACAGCCCATAGACTGGGAGAAAATATTTGCAAATCATATATCTGATAAGGGACTTGTATCTAGAATATATAAATAACTTGTACAACTCAATAGTAAAAATAATTCAAAAATAAGCAAAGGATCTGAATAGATATATCTCCAAATAAGATAAACAAATGGCACATGAAAAGATGGTCAACACTGTTAGCCATCACAGAAATACAAATCAAAGCCACAGTAACCTACCACGTCATATCCACTACAATGGCCATAATCAAAACAACAGAAAAGAAGAAATGTTGATGAGGATGTGAAAACTTAGAATCCTCCTATACTGCTGGTGGAAATTTAAAATGATACAGCCACTTTGGAAAATAGTCTGGCAGATCCTCAAAAGATTAAACATAGGGTTACCATATGACAACAATACTACTCCTAGGAGTACCCAAGACCATGTATAGGGTTGGTAGACAATGTTTCTACAAGTATATTTGTATGATCTGTAAGAATTCCCAGATGTATAGTAGAGCTGACAAGGGGCAAGGTTGTAGTCACTTCTTGGCCACTGCCAGCTACCCAGAGGGAGTGAGTAGTTGAACCTATGGGCTCAGGACCATAGTTGCAGGGGACATCAAGCTCAGTTGGCATAACATACTACACAAAACATTGTTCCACCTCCTACTTTGGTGAGTAGCGACTGGGATCTTAAAAGCTTGCAAGCAGCCATTTGGATGCAACAATGGGTCTTTCCTCATCCAGAGCAAAGAAGAATGAAGAAAACCAAAGATTCATGGAAACAAATTAGTCCAAGAGACTGATATACCATGAGATCCGCAGCCTATATGACTATGAGACCAGAAGAACTAGATGGTGCCCAGCTACCACTGTCAGCTACTCAGAGGGGGATCTATGTAGGAGATCCTGGATAGAGAGGGAGAACAATGTAGAATAAAACTCAAAATCATTTGGGAAAAAAAAAGGGGGGGGAGGGGACCAGGTTTGCTGGTCTGATAGAGCCTGGTGGAACCACTGAGACTATGGCCTTTAGCTGCCCTTCAGGTCTGGAATTGAACCCACACCTGTGGCTTCCAGCCAAACATGAAACAGGCATATGAGCTGAACATTTACCTGAGGTAGATACACTCCTTGGAGAGATCAATCATGGGAGAACAGAAAGGCTGTCTATGTGCAGGGAGAGAGCTCAGGGGGCAGGAGTGCATGAAGGGATGGACGTAGGGAAGAGGTAACTATGGGGAGGAAGTGAGAGGGGAGCTCTTACATTGGGGTACATTGTAGTCAATGTCATGAGACAAAGTGTACATGAACTGCTGTAGGGAAAGTGAATTTGCTCTGTAAACTTTCAACCAAATCACAATAAAAAATAAAAATAAAAAATACTATTCCTAGGGATATACCCAAGATAATTAAAAACATACGTGCATACAGAAACTTCTATAAAAAAGTACATATTGTTGTTGTTATGTGCCGTCGAGTTGGACCTGACTCATAGCGACCCCTCCTTGGGTTTCCGAGATAGTATCACTATGGAAGTAGATTGCCCAACCTTCCTTCCAAGGAGTGGCTGGTGGGTTTGAACTGCCAGCCTTCTGGTTAGCAGTCAAGTGCCTTAGGCACATAACAACACTATAAGAGCCCCAAAGTAGAAACAACCCAAATGTCCTCAATGAATGGAAAATAACACAAAATGTGGCACATCCATACTTTGGAAAATTATTCATCAGCAAAAAGGAACAAAGTGCTAATTAATATATGCTGCAACTTCAATGAACTTTGAAAACTGCTACATGAAAGAAACCAGTCACGTAAGATTGTATGACTATATGACTCTATTTATAGGAAATGCCCAAAATGGGCAAATGTATGATAAAACAGATCAGTGGTTGCCCAGAGCTGGGGATTAGTCATTGGGTAGTACAAATGGTTAAACAAAGGGCTAGATATTCAAGTCTAGAGGTGCCTTGGAGGAAATGCCTGGCAATGTACTTCTGAAAAAATCAGCCATTGAAAACCCTGTGGGGCACAGTTCCACTCTGACATGTATGGGGTTGCCATGAGTCAGGATCAACTCCACAGCAACTGGTTAGTTAGGGCTGGAGAAGCTGGGGGAATACAGGGAGTGACTGCTAAAGGGTACAGGGTTTTTTGGGGGGAGTGATAGAAATGTTCTAAAGCTAATTTTGGTGATAGTTGCACAACTGTGTGAGTATACTAAAAGCCACTGGATTGTACACTTGAAATGGGTGAAGTGTGTAGTATACGAATTGTATCTCAGTAAAGCTGTTATAAAAAAAAAAAAGGAGTTGGAGCAGATTCTGCCCTATTCTGTGTATACCAGAAGGCTGATCACTTTGAACCATACACTAGTATGTTGTTGGGCACCTGGATTGTTCAGTGGACTTGTTTTTTAAGCCCACAGGCTTGTAGGCACACCAGCCCAGGGGGAATTTGATCACTCCCAGAAGAATGGCTTAGAATGGCCAAGGTACCCCCCCTAAAATTCCCACAGGGAAAAAGTGTAGCAACTCTAGGAAATAGGATTATAATGTCCAAGACCAGGTCCTCAGTGTTCCAAAACCACACTGGCTACAGAGGGAGGAGGAGGCATCAGGGGCTGCACTGCTCTCTGGCCCTTGGGTCCTTGGGTAGAGCAGACCAGAGAGAGCTCCAAGCACCTTCCCTGCTTCCCTTCCATACCCGAGGTACCCTGGGAACAACCATAGCCTGTGTCCTCAGACTGCGCCTAGCCTGGGGCCACCACTACAAGGATACTGCTGCAGCTTCTGCCTCTGGTCCATGGAACCCGAGTGGTGGATGATCTTCCGCAGACCCTGCACCCAGTGCTGGGCATCAGCTGGTGACGGGGCAATGAGGTCCAGTGTGTTACGCTGGTCCTTGAAGATGATAGAGAAGCAGCGGTCCGCGGGCACATCATGGGCGTACTTCTCCAGGCCCTCGGTGCGGTGCCCCTGCCGTATCTCCTGAATGTCCTCAATGGAGACTGTGAGCAGAGGCCGAGGGGAACAGAGAGAGCCGTGAGGCACAGAGCCAGGGCTGGAGCTTAGGCCCGGAGTCCAGGGATCCTGACAAGAGAGAACGGAAAGGGGCAGGAAGACAGACGAGGTGGGACATAAAGGAGAGTAAGACAGCCATAGCAGACAGAGTAGAAACTACAGGGAAAGACTCTGAGAGAGACTTGAGGTAGGAAGGGAACCTGGGACCACCAGGCCTGCTGTCCCAGTGACAGGAGGGAAGCAGGGGTCCTGGGAGAGGATTGGGGTAGGGCATAAGATGGAGAGAAGCCACCTGGAGCTTGGAGGCTGTGACTGAGAGGGGCCACCAGCTTTCCTGATCATCCTTGACTTTGGGCCTGCCCTCCCACACCTAGCCAGGAGAGCCTCCAGGGCCTTCTCCTGCCCATTCAGGACACTGGGGACACCCTCAGTTGGCCCTGGCCCTGGAGTCTGGGGGCAAAGAGTCAAAATGAGAGAGAAAAGTGCCTGTGTCTGTATGGGTCCTGACCTCAGGGAATACCTTGGCAGGGAGGCTGGAGGAAGGCTGTGCCCTTTAGGGTCCCAACTGGAGGGTATCCCTTGGGGATTTGAGAGATTATATCATTCTGCCCTTGGGAACCTGGAGGAGGGCCCTCCTGTCACAGCCCAGCCTTCAAAGCTTCAGGGAGAGGCAAGGCCCTGCCTACACCAGCACCTGCACCCCTAGTGTGCCTTCCCTGGGTTGGAGCCATCCTACCCCCAGGTTCATACTAGGCCTCCCAGCTGTAGTTATCCAGCTCTGCCCCACCTCCATCTTAAGCCAGTCTCATCTGTCCTGGGTCCCAGTCCAGCTCCGGCTGGAAGCCAGCCTGAACCTCCCTGTGCCCACTGCCCACTCTTACCCTTTGCCCTGAGTACTCAAGGGCCTCCTGGCCACTTTCAGGCCCCATGTGTGTGGCATGTGCCAAGCCTGGACAGCAGGCTTTAGGAAGAGGAATGTAAGATCCCTGGGCCTTCCTGGGGTACAAGGGATAATCCCTCCGCCCACAGCCTCCTGTGCTTCACTATGCCTCAGACCAGCCACGGCTGTAGCAGAACACAGGAGTGTTCACAGGCTGGGAGTGAACACAGGAAGCCTGAGACATGGAACCCTCTGGGTGACAGCACCCCTGTCCAGAGAGGAACTACAGATGCCTTCACTGCTGATAATACCATCTGGGAACTAGAAATGACAGATGGGGTGGGAGCCATGGTATGACTGGGGAAGATTTAGGCAGCAGGAAACAGAACCAGAGAGATTTAGGGTACTGCTCCACTCCTTCCTCACCAGGCCTCTCCTTTACTCTCCAGACTTTGGTTTGCCCAAAGGTAAAATTCAGTGAGGACAACTGAAACTTTGCTGCTTGCCCAGAGAAGAGGAGCAGCCACCATATATACTCAATACAGGCCTATCTCAGGCCTCCTGGAAAGAAGCCTTTTCAGGCCGCACTGGGCAAACTCCACACTCCTCACTTGAACACATCTAGCTCCCCAAACCTGGGCCTGCAGCCCCTGCTCTCAGGAGTGGGACCCTCAGCCTGCCATCATGCCCTTTCCTAAGACTGCACCTTTGCTCACACGGGTCTCCTGCTTGGAATGTTCTTCCTGCCCCTTTTGCTCATAGTTGTCCTAGTGTGAAGTTTTCTATCGCCAGCCCAAATGAGGGTTCCTGCAGGCAAGGGCTGGGTCTCCCATGCCTCTCTCTGCCCCCATGCCCATTCCCCACCAAGTGCCAGGCACACATTGGGGAGCTGTGCATATAATGGCTGGTGAGCGGCCTCCAGGGAATCCCCTGGACTCAGTCTAGTTCCCACCCTGCCCCCACCCACCGGCATCAGGGCTGGCCCACCAGCATCTAACAGGAAACCCCCTATCAAGGCAGGAGCTCTGTGAAGGAGCATATCAGGCGCCACATACAGAGCCAAGGTCTGGCGCTCATTGCTGTGCTATGTGGAGGTGGGCTGGGCTGCAGCAGATGCCGGCTCTGAGTGGTTTTCTGAGAGCACTTCAGGCCCCCATCCCCTCAGACCCTGCCCTGCCCTGCTCAGAAACCTTCCAGGACCACAGCCCCCTTGAACCTGCTCCTGTCCTGACTCACCTCCTGCCCCCATCATAGGCTACAAGCAAGCAGACCATATTTTCTCAGGTCTTTTTCCACAGAATATTGAGATCTACCATATGCTTCCTGGGTCAAATGCCACCTTTAGTGACTTCAGTAAACTGACCTTCTCCTTCTCTATGCTCCTTTCCCTCCTGGAATTTGTCACATAAGTCTGGTCTCATCACCCTACCCCACTGCCAACAGACCTGCTGGGGGCTGACCCTGACCCTACCTCTCCCCAACCAAGGGTGAGATGAAAGGAAAAAGGATTTCCATGGGTCTTGGTTTTAGTGAAAGGGGCTCTGGTGGTGCAGAGGTTAAAGCATTCAGCTGCTAATCATAGGTTGGGGTTTGAACCCACCAACTGCTCTGTGGGAGAAAGATAAGGCAGTCTACTTCCATAAAGATTTATAGCTTTGGAAACCCTATGGGGCAGTTCTACCCTGTCCTATAGGATTGCTATGTGTCAGAATCAACTCAACGGCAGTGGATTTTTGAGGGGCTTCAGTGGAAAGCAGTGGTTAAGCGCTCTGCTGCTAACTGAAAGATTGATAGTTTGAACCCACCAGCCACTCCACAGAGAAAGATGAGGCCGTCTGTTTCTGTAAAGATGTACAGCCTTGGAAACCCTATGGGGCAGTTCTACTCTGTCATATAGGGTCTCTGAGTCAGAATCTACTCAATGGCAGTGGGTTAGGTTGGGTTGGGTTGGGTTGGGGGGCTTCAGTGGGAATCCCTGCGTTGTACAAATAGTTAAGCACTTGCTGCTAACCAAAAGTTGGGTGGTTTGAACCTACCTACAGGTGCCTCGGAAGAAAGCTCTGGTGATCTGCTTTTGAAAGGTCCCAGCTGTGAAAACCCTATGAAGTGCAGTTCTATTCTGACACACGAGGGGTCACCATGAGTCAGAACTGACTTGACTGCAACTGGTTTGGCTTCAGTGAAACCTAGGCTGCAATGATTCTGTCTGCTGTAGCCACCAGCCACATTTTGCTACTTAAATATTCTTGTAAGTTGCCACTGCATCAATCCCCGACTCATGGTAACCCCTGTGTTACAGAACAGAACCTCTCCGTAGGGTTTTCTTGCTTGTAATCTTTACAAAAGCAAATCATCAGAGCCACTGGGGGTGGGTTAGAACCGCCAACCTTTAAGTTAGCAGCCAATCACAAACCACTTGTGCCACCCAGGCTGCTTTTAAATAGAAATTAGTTAAAATTAAATAAAATTTAAAATTCACTTTTTCAGTCACACTATCCACATTCCAAGTACTCAGTGACCACAGGCTACCATATTGGACAGCACAGATGAAGAATATTTCCATCGTCACAGCAAGTTCTCTTGGACAGCTTTAGTTTAAAATGTTCCTGCCAAGTAAAGGTGCAGAGCTATGGCAGGGGGACACCTCATTTTACTAGTAATTCTTGCTTTAAAGGGCAGAAATCAACAGACTTTCCACCCAAAGGCCTTGTAGGAGGTAGTTTCCATTTGTAGGCCTGAACCCTTAGAAGTTTCCAGAAAGCCCTGAGACTCACACCCTCAAGGATTAACTCCACAACCATGGGCTGTTTTTGTGTGTCCCAGTCCTACTCCATCCCCAGGAGTCCTCCTTTGGCCCCAGTCCCAGGGAGGAGCTGTTTTATACAGACCCAGCCCACACCCTGGCCAGGGATATCCGGAAGTGCCTTATCTGCCCCTGGACTTTGGGCCTAGCTTTTGGCTGTACCACACCTGGATTCCTAGTCTGCTGACAACCACCTGAGTGGATACTTACAAGTTCAGGCAACATTGCCCAGGTCCCTCCCTATTGTAAACCTTGCCTTTCCCATCTCTGGTCATGGGTCTATATCCCTAGCCCCATGAGGCTTTCACATCTCTATCTGGGTCCTCATTCCATGACTGCCCTTTCCAGCTCAGACCAGGCCTCAGCTTCCCTATGGTGGTTTAACTGGGTCCTCTCCCCAACCCCAGCTAGCCTGTTTCCCCATTTCTAGTCCTGGTTACATGACTGACCACCCCCCAACCAGGCTAGGCCTCACTTTCCCCTTCTGTAATCTTGTTTTATGATTGACTATCACTCCCACTCCACCCTAGGCAGCCTCAGTTCCCCCATCCAAGGCACAGGTTCCACACACTGCCCCCTACCCAGCACCCCCCGGGCACTCACACAGTTGAGACTCTGGGGTCCGCATGACTTTGCGAGACTCCTGCCAGATGGTCTTGCAGTCTTCCTGCAACTTGTAGAAGCGCTCTCTCCGCCATGAGCTGGACTTCACCTTCAGGAGCTGGCTGCCCTTCAGCAGTGCCCGTAGATCCTCGTCATTCTGCAGGCCTAGTGGGACAGAGCAGGCAGAATGCCACTTCTACCAGTGTCCCTGCTGCCACAGGCCCCATGCTTGCCACACCCACCTCCAGAACCTCTGGTGCTGGGGCCTGCCTTCTCCAGGAAGCTATCTCTGATTGCCAGTTGAGGTGACCATGGTAAATCTCAGAACACCTGTCCACCCAAGGTCACACTTTACACTCTGTGACCTGCTACCCACAGCTGAATGGACAAAGGGAGGGCAACTAATCAAAGAGCAGCTGGTTCCTAGGGGACAAGCCACCTAGAACATGGCCTGGCTCTGAAAGATGAAGTAGATGCCTCCTAGTCACATTGAGGAGTCAGAGTGAAAGGACCAAAACACGAGGCAGAGTAGGAGAGAAACGGTCAAACAGCAAAGAACCAGACCCCAGAACATCATAGAACTCAACAACTTCCCAACCCCAGCGACTCTGGAATCACAAGTCCCATTCCTGACCAGTTTTGTGGCCTTACCAAATGACTTCAGGTTGCTCTGTGTTCCTGTCTATAAAATGGGGATGTTGTTGTTGTTGTTATGTGCCATCGAGTTGGACCTGACTCATAGCGACCCCTCCTTGGGTTTCTGAGGCAGTATCACTACGGAAGTAGATTGCCCAACCTTCCTTCCGAGGAGTGGCTGGTGGGTTTGAACCGCCAGCCTTCTGGTTAGCTGTCAAGTGTCTTAGGCACTAAGCTACCAGAGATAATAATAGGGAAGTTCTGAGGTGAAATGAGATGCTGCATTGATCTCAGGAGGGTACGGGGCACTGAGTAATGGGAGCTCTAGTTCTTGGTGTCAATACTGTGGTTGCTGTGGGACCCTTGAATGCATTCCTGCCACCTTCACCTCTGCTGCCCCCATTCCTGCAGCCCCTACCCCTGACTTGAGCCTGCCTTCATGACCTTCTGATCCTTGCCTCCAGAAATGATAGATGAGCCCAGTGCAGCCTGTGTCTGGCCTGCTGGGATGCCCCTGCCCCTCCCTGCCCTACCCCCATGTCTGTGTGTCCTGGTCCAGGACCCCTCAGGATACAGCATTCTTAAGGCACAGTGCAGCCATTTCAGAAGCTAAGGCAAGGCATCGACCAGAGGCCCACAGGGAGGACCAGAACCCTGGCTGCTTGGTTACTCCCCCACCTCCACCCAGCTCTTGCTGCTCTCAGACACCCCTGCTGGTCTGAGGCATGACTTCCAAAGGTATGATGCCATTTGTCCTATTAGGCTCAAAGTGGAGATGCCAAAGGGGCATCTGCCTGGCTCCCCAGAAGCCATCTCCCCCAAGCAGACCCTGTACTAAGTGTGGTCCAACAGACTTGAGAAAAGAGAGACTGACCACCTTAATGACCTATTTATATAAAATAAAGATAGATAATGACAGAGATACATATACATGCCACCCTAGCCACATGTTGTCTTGCAGCCACCTCTGTTCGGAACCAAAGGGCCATCTTACTTCTGTACCTAAAACTGTGTGGCTCTTCAGCAGTCTTTGTCCTGCTGCGCCAGTAAAGTGAGTGGTGGCATCAAGGACCCTCTGTCTAGGCCTTTGTGGAAAACATTCAGAAAGCCCTAAACTTTTATTTTCTGAGTCCAGAACTCCAAACTCTGACAGCCTCTCCCACTTTATCTGTGCCCCAACCACCCTGCTCCATATACCCACAAGGCCTACAGAACCTTCTGGGCCAATTATCTCAACCATCCACACCCTCCGCAGCCCTCTCCAATCTCCTGCATCCAGTGGGGACAGAGCTAAGCACTAACACTCAACTCCCTATGGTTTTAGGTAACTCCCCTACCTCTCTGTGGCACTATTTTCCCATCAGCACTGAGGTAAGAACAGTTTCTGGTAAGAAGTCTCTAGGCCTCTTAAGAGGTAACAGTCTAATGCAACATTACCCTACCTTTGTCTCAGGGCTACCACCCCCTCCCAGAAGACTCTTCTGCCTTAGTGAGAACAGTTCCCATTCAATCCAAGGGGGTTCGTACAGGATGGCCTTTACTTTGGCTATGTCTGTGGGGCCCAAAATGGAGGAGGGGGCCCTGGAGGTTCTAGGCTGCTATAGGAGAGGGCCACCTCCAGCCACTTCTGGGGAAATCCACTGTCCTTTCTGAGGCTGAAGTACAACTGGGCAAGATGTCTCTGCCTACACCTCACCACCCAAGCTGGGCATACATCAGGGCAAGCCACTGCAAACAAAGCAGATGGGAATGGAGGAGTCGGGAAGTAGGAAGAGGAGCCCCACCCTCAGTCCTGGAAAACACCATGAGGAGATAACATGTCCATCCTGTCCTGGAGCCAGGCTGTGGGCCTGTCTGCAGTCAGTTAGAAATAAATCCCCTGGCTACCAACATAGTTTCTGGACCACGAACTTGAGCCTCAGAGTGGGTCTTGATAATTCAAGAATAGTAATAACTACTGTCCTTAGGGTCACTGGGGAACCTGGGTGGGCACCTCCATCTCTGAGTCTTAGTTGGGATTCTTTTGTTTCTGAGGCCTCTGGGTTGCCTGCCCTATCACCTTTGCTCGCTTAGCACCCAGAACATATGGGGACATGCCTCACCAAATCCCATTCACTCAGCCATAGAGTACCTTCCCCTTTCGGGGGTGGTAGTGAGAGCCCTCTAAGCTCGGGGGCACCTGGGATGATGGTGCAACCAAGCCAGTCTGTCCAGGCTAGGTGCACACAGTGAAGTGGCCATGTCAAGGCATGCAGAGGGTTCTGTGGATACTAATAGGAGGCTCAGCAGGTGCCAGGAGTCCTGCTATATATCTAGAGTGATGTATAATGGAGGCATATTGGGGCCTAGAGCCCACAACAATACACAGCTACATGGTTATATAGTCACACAGATACACACACACCACACTATAATTAGTCACCACCACACATACCCACATACAGTGCCAGAACATCACCATAATAATATAATAGTAGCCGCCATAATAAAATAGTTAATACTTGTATGAGATAATGTTCTTAGTACATGTATTTACTTCTCCCAACAGCTCTATGAGGAAGGCACTATCATCATTCCCATTTTACAGATGAGGAAATTGAGGCTCAAGGAAGTTATATGGTAGAGTCAGGACTCACAAACAGGGCCAGTCCTGTGAAACATCACCTTATGCAACCACCTTCCCACATGGCCACAGAGAGTCACACCATCAGACAACCCACATAATGCACACACATACACACCGTAACACAGACTGATACACTGTCACACGAGATCACACTGGGTTACACACAGAAATCCACAATGCCACCCACTGGGTTACACAGCATTACACACCATCATTGTTGTACAGCTGCCTACAGTATCATACAGAGTGACAGAATCACTCAGTCACCACTGAGTGTAGGTGTACACCTGAGTAGGTGCACTGTCACCCTTGTCACATATAGGCACACACAGCTCATCCACTGGATTACAAAGCCATAGCAGTTACACATCAGGCCACATATCCGTGGTGCCTCAGAAATTTATAAACAAGAGGGATCAAGGGTGGCAAGGAGGGGGACTTTGGAGAGGCTGGGGGAGATCTTAAGGGGTAATTAATCTCCCCAGTACTCACTCTCATGTGCCACCACACCAAACACTGCCTATAGAGTGTCACACACTCACCGAAATGCTAAACAAGCCCAATCAAAGACTAGAGCAAGTGGTCCCCTTGCTCTGCGACATATAGTCTGTGTCCTGCCCCAGCTGTCTTCCCACTTCCCCCAGCTCTCGATGCCTTCTGCGCCCCTTACCCAATCTCTGCTCATTGACTGCTGCCACCTTGAGGCTCTGTTCCTGCAGGTAGAGCTCCCTGGAGCGGCTCGGGCTCCGGAACCCGAAGCACTGCATAGCTGCTCCTCAGTGTCCTGGCCGCCGGCCGAGCTTAGCCCAGGACAGGACAGCAGCCAGGGGACGGAATCACTGCGCTGGAGGCGGGGG